CACAACAGAGTTAAAACTTCCTCCTCTCCCCTTCCCTCCCTCCAATTCTTGACTCTGCCCTAGCCCTAGGACAACAAGCTTTTCTTCATCATCCCAACCTTTGGCTCCTCAGCCAGATGCCTAAGCCACTGAACTATCCAGTAACGTAACGAAAAAGGAAAAAGGAAAAAGGAAAAAGGAAAAAGGAAAAAAGGGAAGGGAAGGAAAGGAAAGGAAAGGAAAGGAAAGGAAAGGAAAGGAAAGAAGGAAAGGAAAGGAAAAAGGAAAGGAAAAAGGAAAGGAAAAAGGAAAGGAAAGGAAAGGGAAGGGAAGGGAAGGGAAGGAAACGGAAGGAAAGGAAAGGAAAGGAAAGGAGAAGATGGGCACCAGGTGGGTAGGAGTGGATTCACACAATAAGCTGCAAACAAGGCTCATTTCCTCCCTTTCTCTGTTGGCCCTTGTGTAGTTGGCTGAAGTGAATTAACCCAGGAAAACCCGACTTCCTGGGTGTGACTTCACAGTGTATCCATTCACATTTTTCCCTACTGGGTAACCACACCCTAACACAAACCTCCCTAGAAATGTCTACATATCTTCTCTATTAAGCTTAGCAGGTGGAAAATCACCAGGGAAGGGATATTACTTGTAAGAGTGCATACTTTGCACATGGTAGGCCTTTACTTTCTATCTGAAGTAATTAGAGGGGAGAAGTTTTTGTTGTATTTTTCACAGCTACTCCCTTTCTCTTTGCCCCATTCCTCTTTGCCATCACCTCACTTCCTGCTCATGATCAGCATGTGCCTCCCTGTACAGTGGAACCTCTACTTAAGAACTTAATCGGTTTTGGAATGGTGTTCTTAAGTTGAAACATTCTTAAGTTGAAGCAAAATTTCCCATAGGAATGGACTGAAAACCAATTAATCCGTTCTGGCTGTTTTTTTGTTATGTAGAGGTGCGTTTGTACATTGAAGCATTAGTTCCCATAGGAACTAATGCAAAGCTGGTTAATACGTACTCTACCACTAGGGGGAGAATTTTTTTAAACCTAAGATGACCTAAGGTTTAAAAAAGAGCAGGAAAGGGTTTTTTTCCTGTTCTTATCTTGGATTTCTGTTCTCAAGTAGAAGCAAAATTTAGCAAATGGAGCTGTTCTTAAGTTGGATTGTTCTTAAGTAGGGACGTTCTTAGACATGTGCCTCCCTGTAATTATTATCTTTCCAGCCCCAAACTCACACCTCCTACAGTAGAGAAGAGGACAGAGCCTAGTGAATTATGGATGTTCATGCCTGCTTTCCCAAAGAGATGGGGCGGGCCATTGGCAGCAACAGGATGGTCTGACCCAACATCATTACCTTTATGGCATCAGAACTACAATCTGTACACTCCCACTACTAGCACATGCATGTCAATGCATTTGACAATTTGGACTATGTTGTTTTCAGGTGTTGGGTGGCTCCACTGGATTAGCTTTTTCTTTTTCTTTTTGCTCCCATGCCCCTTCTCTGTATGTGCATCAGTGTGCAGGAATGCCCAGAGCTTTAAAATGTTACTTTTCCAAACCATAGCTCCCAGAATTCCCCAGACATTCAGCTACCAGTAAGCAAAGAAGAAGAAATAAAAAATGAACCTGTCAATGAAGGCATAGTTAGGAATTTTGTTTTGCTGCAGTAGTAAGCAAAGGAGAAGAAATAACAAACGAACCTGTCAAGACATAGTTAGGAATTTTGTTTTGCTGCAGTACTGTTAACTGTACATGCAAATCTTGCACAGAAGAAACACTAAGCAAGAGGTGGTCTACCTGCCCCTTGACTTTAGAGTTTGCTACTCTTTTGAATTACATGTCCCAGCATGGCTCTGGCTAGTTGTAGGATTTGGTGAGTTGTCAACCCACACAATGTAGCGTTGCCAGGCCCTGATTTATTTTCCATCCCCAGAGCTGTACTGCAGAACATCTGTGGCATCCTTGGTGACAGGGGGTCACGTAGATGAGAGGGCAGCTTCCTGTAGTGTTAATGGGTTGTGTGGTTTTGTGGTGTTTCCTCACTGCAACTCATGTATGCAGGAACACCATTTCAGATGTCATCGTGGGGAGGGAAAAATTCTTACTCAGCATGTTTCAAAGGCCAGCTTTTAGATTTTATTTTTTTAAAAAGGAACCACAACAGTCCTAAAATACACTGTAATTTTGCAACCTAACCTTGTATTCAAGGTTGACGTGGCAAAACTGTGAGGTATTTTAAGAACAAATGTGGTGCCTCATCCTGCTACACCCCTCATCTGTAGCAAGGACAGGAGCACAGGTCAAACTGTTTCTGTAGGGCTGAGGAAATCCCTTTAACATTTTATTGTTGTGCCCTCTGTCATATATACTACATATTTATTTAGTTCCTTCAAATATTTCAACACCCCCTTGTCATGTTAACATTTTTGCAAGGCTGTTAATTTTTCTTTTTCCTTCTCTTGCAAAAGAAGGTGCACCTTTAGCATGCATACTACATATAGGCCCATCCTTTTACCCATAAAAATATATATTCTGGCTACAGTCTGGCACCCACTTACTTGTCCGTCAACCTCAATTCAATGGGACTTAATGGTAAGTGGAGACATGTAGGAGTGCACCGTCAGTACGTAACTCACACACCGTCCAAACCTTAAGGACAGGTGCAGGGCCAGCCCTGTGGCCATGAGGTAGTTGCTGCCTCAGGCCGCACATTTATTGATAGTGTGAAAAAAGTTATTTATTAAATGTTAATGTATATATTAATAATTCATTTGTACTCATGAGGAAGAGAAGTGGAAATTGTGGGATTTTCTGCTTTGCACATCACAATCATTTTGCAACTAGGCCACTTAATTATGGGTTGGAATGAGTGCTGTTTGCCAAATTGTTTGGGAGCATCACCCTATGAGTCCTGATGGCTAGTCAACCAAACTCCATCTACTAAAAGAGATGAGCTTTCAACTGTGATGTTTTGTGGTGCATCCACGAAACATTCCTCTCCCCCCCCCACCCCCGATCCTGCTCTGCCCCTTTCCTTTTCTTGATATGATTTTATTTAGGGTCAACCATATGAATGAGCTACAAGAAGAGAATGCATGGACTAATCAGGTCCTGCTGTCACTGAAATTCATGCCGAAACTCTGCATGAATTTACACGGGGTACGTGTAGGTGCGATGTGAGTTGCACATTGCTTTCTTTGCTGCTTCTCATTGTATTTGTTTTCATCCCCTTGCTTTGTTTGCATACCAACGTCATTTTAACATCTCATGGTATCGTTTTAACAATGATTGTAGGCCACCATAATGTGTTCCCAAAAGGTAATTTTAAAATCCTCCAAACAAAATTGGAATAATAAATAACTGCTAGGATGGATGGGATGAGTTTTCATCTACTTTCTCTAGATTTTGTATTCAGATAAAGGGTCTGAAACTCTTCCCAAGATGAGGCTGAGAAAGACTGAGCCTCACCACCTTGAAATTAGAGACCGAAACTTTTGTGTCATTAAACCCCCTTGGAAATTTTCGCTCAGTTGTGCGATAAAAATAAAAACAAGCAGGCACACATAAAGTCTGTGATCCTAGCTGAAGCCTCCCAGGAATAAGGTGGGCGGGAATATTATTCTGTGCTTCCATGATCCCAGCTGTTGGCAATCCTATCACAATTTCCAAGAGAAATGAGGTGTTCAAGGAATAGTTTATTATTGTGCCACACACCTCAGTGAATCCCACAACCGTGACAGAGATTGAGTCCAAGAATCTATACGTACTTGAGACCACACTGGCACTCAAGGGGGCAATATGACCCACCACTCTCCTAACCCTCCAAACAAATGTTATTATTTTGTGCCAGTGTGGTGCTGTGTGGAAGTCAGAGACCCCAGCTTCTGTGCTGCCGCACACTCCCTGGGTATTGCAACACAATGTGGTTTTGTAGGTAGCGCAACTCCCCAGCCTTGTCATGCCCCTTCAAAACCTTTGTCAAAGGTTCATGCTCCTTGTATGCTATTTTGTGCCTTAAACTCTTAGTGTTAAGCCCACTTCCCAAGTGTGAAAATTACCTTAAAGAGGGGATGTGGGGGATTGTCTTTTATTACCAGGCCCCTTTTTTTAGTGACCCACTGGACCATGCCACTTATCTTTGTAAGTGCACTATACATTATCCAAAATAGCACAGACGTGACAGAAAAATCTGATACCAGAGTGGATGAACTGCAAATACAGCAGCTTGTTGTCACCACATACCTAGGAACATTCTTAAACATTTGCTCTTCAGGCGGCTGTGCTGGGGCAAAATAGTGTGTTGGGAGATCTTGTGCCAAGTTTACCTTCACGTCACAGGGTCTTATGTTGTTTCCCTTTCACTTCATATATTAAGTGTCCACTTTGATCAGTTTTTTTAATAGTTCATTTAGTATTTTCTAGTTTCCTTCAGGACAGTTGCAATGTAACTTGTTTCACTTAGTATATTTATTTATTTATTCATTTCTTCAATTTGTATCCTACTCCCATTAGTGTCACAGTACTATTCTAGTATACATTAATAATCACCTTGCCAACAAAAGTCCACATAGTCAAAGCTATGGTTTTTCCAGTAGTGATGTATGGAAGTGAGAGCTGGACCATAAAAAAGGTTGACCTCTGAAGAATTTATACTTTTGATTGTGGTGCTGGAGGAGACTCTTGAGAGTCCCCTGGACTGTAAGAACAAACCTATCCATTCTGAAGGAAATCAACCCTGAGTGCTCACTGGAAGGACAGATCCTGAAGCTGAGGCTCCAATACTTTGGCCATCTCATGAACAAGAGGAGAAGGGGACGACAGAGGACGAGATGTTGGACAGTGTCAACGAAGCAACCAACATGAATCTGACCAAACTCTGGGAGGCAGTGGAAGACAGGAGGGCCTGGCATGCTCTGGTCCATGGGGTCAGGAAGAGTCGGACACGACTAAACAACAACAACTAATAATAATAATTATAACTAGTATTATTTATTAATATTATACAATTGTGACATCGCCGTTAACAATACTGCACGGAAAAAAACGACTTCCAGGTAGGTTTTGAACCCTAGTCCCTCGCGTTGCAAGGGGCACGAAGCGCCGGCGAAAGGGCGGAGGAGATGCTCAAAGAGCCCCAAAAGGGGGCGGAGTTTTGCAGACAGACGCCGGGCGTTTCGGCCCGAAATTTAGCACCGCCCCCTCTTCCCCCGCCCCGCCCCGCCCGGTCTGAGCGCCGCCAGCACCTGCCCTGTGCTGAGAGTCCGGCACAAGCTTCCGAGACTCCAGATTGCCTGCAGTGGTTGTGCGAAAGCCAGGGGAGCACTTCAGGTACCGTAATTTCGCGAGCAAGCGGGCACGCACGAAGAGAAAGTTCCTGGCAGGACTTAATCCTCGGAGACGGCACTTTTTGGGGGAACTTGCAGGGGGATTTTGGGGGAGTTTTTCCTCTCCTGTCCAAAGTCTCGTTTCCAAGGGTTGGGCAGAACAGCGCGCGCGCCTGGGTGGCGGAAGACTCTTGGCTTGCAAAGGCGCAGTTAGCATCACGTAGGCAGAGGTTCGCCTTCAGGATCAAACGGGATCGCTCTTTCCAACCGATCCTGGATACTTTTCCTCCGAAATAAGGACTCCTTTCTCTGAGGAAGGCGGGGGGGGGAGGGCTTCATTCTAGGTCAGTGTGCCTAATATTGCATCCGGACCCTACTTACTTGGAAGTCAGGTTCTCCACTCGGCTTCTCCTTGGAAGTAACTCCTTAGGGTGGCAGGCTTTTCAGCCTTCTCCACGCACCCTCGGGGAACTCCATCGCCCAGCCTTGATCTCCGCTTATCTTCTTCCCCTAGAGCTCTGGTTTCTGTGTAATAACAGATGGGGGGAGATCGGACTTTTCTGCTGACTCTCCGGGGCTCGGTGGATTGTAGCCCAACGCGCTGGGGTGGATGCTCCGGGAGCCAGATTCTGGTGTGTCACCTCCGAGGGGGGGTTAGTGGCGGGGATCGGGGGGTTTTGTCTTTTTTTGGAGCGAGAGGTCTGGCTGGTAACAGCTGGATGAGAGGGGACGGGGGTGTCCCTCTGCGCTCCCTCCCCCCCACTCGCCCCGGTCTCGACGTCCATTGTTTGCGGGTTCAAACGAGCAGAACGTTTCTGGCGCGAAAGTTCTCTGATCCGACCACTCCCTACTTGAAGTCACTTTTCTCGGATGAAGCTGCGGCGCTCTCGGAAAGTGCCACCGCGATCCCGAAGCATGCTTAGTCAGGGATATAAATCCGATCTGCAAGGCTTTACTTGTTCTTCTTTGCCAGATGGGCATAGGTGGAGGCTGATTCCAAAGTGGTTTTCTCTCGTGGTGTGATCGCGATCCTCTGCAAAACCGGGTGCACGTCGGTCCCTGGGAGGCAACCCCACGGGTTTTACTTCTAAGTAAGCGAGCACAGGATTGAAACTTTAGTTACTTGGTGGCGTGTTGATACAAATCTGGGCTCGCCACTCAGTCCCCCTGGACTGAGACTACAGATAATATATTTGTGCCTATTTAACCGGAGAGTAAACTTCGTTGCACTTAATGGAGCTTGCTTCTGGATTCTCTAGACCAGTGGTTCACAACCTTAGGGCCTCCAGATATTCCTGGACTAAAAATCCCAGAAATCCTGGCCAGCACAGCTAGTGGTGAAGGCTTCTGAGAATTTTAGTCCAAGAACATCTATAAAACCTAGGTGGGGGACCACTGCTCTAGTCTAGACCATTGCTGCATGTCCCCCCCCCCATTTTGCCTAAAAGACTTGCAGTCTTGTAAGAAGATCGACACAGTTGTTGAGAGCCTAAATATCCAAAACCAGAGCAAAAACCTCACAGTTCAGCACAGCGTCTTGGATCCAGTCTGTATGGATTTCTCTGCACTACAACTCCCACCGACCTTAACTGCTGGAGAAGACAATGAGAGATAATGAGGATTATAGTCTGACATTTGAGAATCAGATGTGTTCTACATTTTTGATAATAAATCAGAATGTGGGAAGCTTTCTATGAGCTACATCTCTCCCTCAATGCATTGCGGAATAGCACAATGGTTAAAATCTGGCTGTGGAGCCAGAGGTTGGGAGTTCGATTCCCTACTGTGCCTCCTTGACAGAGACTGAACGTGATGATCCCTTCCAGCTCTGCAGCTCTAAGATTATTATATATTATATATTCATGTTTCTCCAGTGAAACAGAAGTTGTATGCCTCTGCCTTGATTTTCCTGGTATAATAACCTCTGGACTGGCAGGCTACAGAAATAAAATCTGTGTGCCTCCTGAATGTACTTGGTTGTTTGCCTGCCTCTCAGCTGGGAGCAAATGCATAAAATATTTAAAAGCTAATGATTTTTGTTTTCTCAAAGAAGCACCGGTCAAGCCCTGCTTGTTTTTCTTTTGTTTTAAGTTCAGATGTTTAGTAAAAGCAGGATTAAACATCCTGCCTATTCAGTATTCAAGGAGAGAGACACCCAGGCACCTTTTATACCATTGGGTGTTGGGCATGTCTCTTCGGTTGGGGTTTTACAGTTGGCCCTGCCATGAGGGAGACTGGGGCATTCTGCAAGGCTGGTATAGTAAAAGGATAGGAAAGTTGTTTCGTTTGTTAGTCCTGTATTTTTACTTCCAGGGAGTTGGGGAGGTGTTTATGATTCATCAAGCATCACAACCAAACAAACAGGCACTTGCTGGCGTTGTATATAGCGCACCTTAATAGAAAGAGGGAAGGGGGAGGATATTCAATTGAATGTCTTGTGTTAGTTTTATATCAGTTCTAGACTTGCCTCTCATTACTTGTCTGCTGGGGTTTAGCTTTAAAAGGATCCCCATTTTAAGATGGGCCACTTAGTTATTTTGATTAGCCTGGCTCCCATTTTTCTAAGGACAACCTGACATGGAAATTCGGCATGTGAAACGGCTTCCAGCACCAATATATAGTGATGTGGAAACGTCTCCTGTGCTGTCCTCCTCAATTGTCTATGCATTAGTCAGCTGTTGGAAGTGATGGAATGGAGCTCGGGAAAAATATATATGAATAAATAAGCAGCAACTTGGCCCCTTCTCATACCTTGATCGTTTGTCTTGAAAAAGAAATAAACAGAAGTTTAAAGTGATTCTTCTCAGGCCTGTTTTTTGGATCATGGTGATGGAAATAATAAATGCAGTAGCATTCATGAAGGAGATTACGGGGAAGGGGGGGCATGTTTATTTTCTTGCAGAAGAGACCCCATCTGGCACTCCAGAGATTCTAATGGCTGCGCGTATTGGCCTAATGAGGGCTTATAGTGGAACCAAATGCAGCAGATCCAAATGTCCCTGGAGGAATCAGAATCTTTCTACATTGAGGAATTAAGGCACAAGAGACTGGCATTTTCTTTGGCACCAGAGGAAATTGAGCAGACAGCTGGTCTGATCCCAGGCAGGGTTCGTCCAGAGTTTGGAAATGTTACTTTTTTTGGACTACAAGTCCCAGAATCCCCACAGCCTTTGGGAGGTACGGGATTTGTAGCCTACAATAATTTCTCAAGCTTCGGACTTCAGTCAGAAATAAGTCCCACCAAGTGCAGTGGAGGCTTATGTTCAAGTAAGTATGCATGGTATTGTAACAATCATAAGTTAAAACTGCTACTTCAGAGACTTGAGTAATTTACTGTGCTTTCCTCCCCATCTTCCTCAGAGCCACTTCCTACCATCCACCTGACCCTATAAATATTCGCAAAGGCTTTCACGGCCAGGATCTAATGGTTGCTGTGGGTTTTTTGGGCTCTTTGGCCGTGTTCTGAAGGTTGTTCGACTGCACTCTGCTCACAGACTGCAGTCCTCTGAAGATGCCGGCCACAGAGACTGGCGAAACGTTAGGAAGAACAACCTTCAGAACACGGCCAAAGAGCCCAAAAAAACCCACAACAACCTATAAATGTTCTTTGCTCAGTAAGTACAGCAGCAAACACTAATTAATGTAACAGTAGTGCTGGGAAAATTAACCTTTGGGAAAAAGAGATGTACTGTATAATGATACACCACAGTTATCCCTAAATAAGCAGTGGTAGCATGATGCTGTGGGATCCAGGGCATCATCCTACTATTGTTAACCTGCAGATAGCCTGAACATGCTATTCCATATTGTTGTTCCCAGTTCTGGTCTTACTTTCCTGAGAGAGCTGTCTCATTGTGCCTATTGGTAGGTCCAGTCTTGAGTACTGGGTGATCAAATGGCAAAGTATTAACCATGGCTGTAGGAACCAACTCTTGTTGTCCAGAGCTCTTAACCTTATTTGTCACAGTAGTAAAGTCAAGGCGGAGGGGACTGAATTTAAGGCCTAAATGTGATCAGTAGTCTGAACTAGACGACCTAATTCCTACCTGATCCCAACTACTGTATACTTGAAACCCATTCAATTCAGTATTGATTCTCTAATCAGCAGCTGATTGATTGGGTCTACTGCTATCTGCTTTTAGGCCATATTTTCCAGGTGCTGTGCTCCAGGGAAAGAGCAATTCCTGCATGCCTAAGTTGCAAAATAAAACTAGCATGCCTCAGACCAGCAATGAGGCTTTATAGATACAGAAGTCATGTCTCCCAATGGCACGCAAGGACATTGGTGGATGTGTTCCCCTGATATCACACCGATGAGAAGTTTAGTGCACCACATCTGTACATAGGTTGAATTATATTAATCCTATAACTGCTGAGCTTTCAACTATAATTCAAAGTGTTGATTATTACCTTTAAGGCCATAAGTAGCAGCTTAGAGATAGTCCCTATCACCTTCTTTATCATCCTGCCTGTTCCTTAAAATCCGAAGAACTACTATTCTGCACCACATCTAGGATGAAATGTTGTGAGGTGGTTATTCCTGTGTGTAGAAGCAGAGCTCCTTTCATTGGCCAAAAAGGCCTGGTTGTCATAGCCGGAGCTTTTCACATCTCTGTATTTGCAAAATTGGCTTTGCTGTTTTTCCTGATTGGTTTTCAGGAAGTCAACGTGAGCTTCATTTGCGAGTCTGATGGCTCAGGCATGGACTTTCACAGAATCCCATTCTTAATAGGCTGAAGTACAGTATTGGATTACAAGTGAATGCTAGGGTAGAGGTATTACTGAATGAAATAAAGCAAGAGCCTGCTCAGAGGCTTTTGTAATGGGGTGGCTTGTATTCTCTTTGTATGAGGAAATGGATTGTAGGCCACAGAAGCTATCCCTGAAAATGAATGTGTTGGCCTTAAAGGTGCCATGCAGCTTCATTTCAGTTTAAGTTTGCCCTCCTCAAAATCTGTGTCCAGACAATGGAACACTTTGCTCCGTTGTGGACACGTGGCTTAC